CTGCTGGTTTATTCACTCGGTAGTTTCACATAGACAGGCTTCCTCTACATGTAAAACTTAAGTTCACCCAGTACGCCCGATTTTCATTTTTTCGGAATTTTCTACTTTGCTAGAAATGCTGGCATTTCTATAAAATTTATATCCCTTCATAAGTCACAATAGGTCCTATTATGAAGAACGGCCATATCTTTATTGCTATAAGACTTTGCGGCCGCATTTTACGCTGCGTTTGAGTAACAGGGAGCTACTTGTAAAAATCTTTGGATTTCATGAGTTAGGTAACCTACCGTACGAGGCCTGTCATTTTGCAGGGATACGTTTTACTTCCGGAAATGGGGCAAAACTGTTTTGTTTTTACGTTGATTTTTTCTTTTTCTTTTGCGATTTTTACAAAAGGATATCTTTAACCCAAATGATATATGATTGTAACATTTAATAGGAGTTGAATAGTGTTTTTTTCTGAATATATGCAAGCACCGCTCATACGCTTGCTAAATTTGCTCAATATCGTCGAAAGATCACAATGTAAGGAATCGGATCGCTAAGTCCAAGCAAATACCTATCACGCATACCATGTTATCTGAATTTGGTCCCTTTCTGCTGGCGAAAAAAATAATTAATTCATTAAAACAACAATTAAGTTAATGAGATGTTTTTTTATTATCCGTTAGTTTTACTTCGTTAGTTGTCGAAAAATGATCCATCACGTCTTTAATTTATGGCAGGATGACTTGTTGAAAACATTCAGCCGGGTATTCTGGCTCACTTCAGCGCCTAATAGTTAAGCAATGAGGTAAAATTCACTCGTTAGTTGTTTCAAGGTCATTATTTCCGCCTACGAAAATAAGCCTAAGCGTTACTATTTAACGAAAACCCACTCAATGATCTCATAAAAATGATAGGCGAAATTTTCAATGTTTGTTTGAGTAGGAAGCATAACTTGGCCGAGGTTATAAAACTGATTATTGTTCAACATTATCCGAAGATTTTGCAGCCAGGCCAGAATGCCAGCTTCTATTCTCTCACTTGCAAACCCACATTTCGTAAAAAAATAAATCCTTAGGTAATATGAATCTGAGTCGGTTATGCGCGATGCCCATAGAAATATAAAACACTTAATAGGAAGCATGTACAAAATATATTTTCTGGCACTCGTTTCGTAGCAAATCACGTCCACGTGTCTCGGGTCTTCTCAGTCTGTGATTGACTTATGGTTACTTGACTATTTTAAATAATGCGGAGATGGACCTTCCAGATACTATCACATTTTTCGGTATTACATATAAATTTACACATAAATAAGTTTCGGTTTTGGTGTAAACACGCCGAAACATGGCAAAACAAACCAAAACGGACTTGTGACAGTCGCATTTATGCACACTGGAAACACGCGTGTGTCAAGCGGGTAATATGCGGTAAAAGGTTTTGCCCTTACTAAAATATTTCTGCACAAATCATGCTATAAAATTCGAACCTAGAATCTCTTTATTGCCTTTTAGAACAGGTTCAACTTTGCAGTTCATAGTCGTTTTTGCAAGCCATCTAGACAACAGAGTGCTACCACTCAGTAGCACTGTATAAACTAGATACACATTTTCCGATGGAATCCCACAAAGAAAGTTTGCTAAACATCACCGAATGTGCCAACAGCAGTAACCCTAAGGTAGGAGCAACTAGGAAGATACTGACTCATAACTTATGTGGAGAGAATGGTGAGAACTTCCTAATAAAGATCGCTGTTGCGCAAAGCCGTCGATTCGTGAAACATGTACGACAATTATGGCCGTCTGTTGATTAAAACGCTACTCCCGACTATTTTTCCAACCTTCCCAGAACATGGTCTCCTTAAGATAATTATCGAAAAATTATCCCTTGATGATCTATTATCAGTTGTTTTTATTAACCTGATTTTAACATTTTGGCCTGATGGCACAGATTTCTAGGGGAATCTCTGTTCATGTTTTTTTT